TTATAAAGTTAAATCATTTTTCAAAGAACCCAACAGGAAAATATACACTTCAAAGTGAACGCATTTTAAATCTAAAAAAATTAGATTGGATGTTTGATGAAAATAATAGTACATTGGTGGCTTGATTATTGTATATTATATTATATTATTCACTTTCAGTGATGTGTTTATAATTTAATATTAAGCTTACCATTTTAGATCTAGATTAAAACACTAATTAGTAATTACCAGTATTGAATATTTAACGCTGTTTCTAACAATCTATTCCAAATAACCTACCTATATAATAGTACCACTATTAAGTATGTTGACGTTGAACAGTGATCTTAAAATAAATTTAGTAAATTAATATTATGTAATCTTTCACTATTAATTCATTAAAATCTTTAATTGCCTTTGTTATATAAATATACTCGAATAACCACAGTTAAATCCACTTTTATAACTTATTTATAATTAAGACTCTGTGAATAATATATTTAAACAATGTGCACTTATAAAAGTACCTACATTCTAAAAGTAACAGACACTATATTAAGTTTCATAATAACAACATTAAATAGGTACTACGTTATTTATTAGAACGATAAAAACATAATTTAAGGCAATAATGTCTACGTTTTAAAATATAACAAATATTTTCTGCAATAAGCAATTCCTACCCAAACCTYATAAGTTTATGATAAAAAAGGAAGGCAAATGGGTACCGCTCTGCTGTACAATAAGTGAGGTTCATTGAAATGGTAGTGTAMATTTTTACTTTAATAATACATATTATAAAATATTGTATACGAAAAAAGTTTTTTAGCATAAAAACTGTCTGTCAGCTTATATTATAGTAATATTTTTAAATTACAAAAAATAACTAAAACCGCATTCAAATTTCTTCAAAATTGAACTTAAAATATTTATTTTAAAAATATTGTTTAAACATATTTTTAGATACACTATGAAATAATTGGAAACCTATTGTTTTGAATGTCTTCCAATATCTCTTTGTTATTTGATAATTATTTTCGAAATGCCCACYTTCCACTAAATACCAAAATCAATAATAATCTGAAATAGACATTTTCTTTTAAAATTACTGAATGTTTTGTTYAATACCTTAAAGCCGGTCATCCTATATTGATGGACAAGTTGATAAAATATATTCAATATACCTCTTAAAAATTCATATTTATGATAATAATTATTTGTATCAACTGCACTTAGGTCGGCCGTGTCATGTAGCCTACAACAACCCTTCGGGAATTATCCTGTTCGAAGTTCAACCAAAGTCCCAACTACAAAATGGTGATCTGTTTAACTTCAAACGGATGTGAAAATAAAACTGATAAGTACTAATAACTCTAATACTCCAAAATACTACAGATACATAAARTTAATATAATATACATTAACTTCGGAAATGGAATAATTATCTAGTTACATATTGCATCATTTAATGAAATAATATAGACATATAGTCTTAAATCATACTTATATTTTGCTCCTTGCTGCTAATAAAACCATTTTAAAATTACCTAAAAAAAAAAAATGTATATGATATGAAAACCAGTGTAATTCTAAAAGAATGACTATCAAATTATTAAAAATTCCACTAAATATTTTCCTTTCCAAAAAACTATAACTTTAAATTTTAGTCACCTAATTTTACGTTAAATTGAACTTYTAAAATTAAAGAACTTCGAATAATTATTATTATTGACTCTAAATAGTGATTTTCTAKTACTTTTCAAAACTTTTATTCTTCTCTTATTCGTCTTTACCTTTTGTTAACCTACTTGTCTCAAGTGAGAAACTGCAGAATTGAGCTCATTATAATCTAATTGAGCAAATATAAAATAATACGATTATTTGGTTTATTTCTTGTAAATGTAATAGTTTTGACCGGCTCTGGTTGTACATCGTATAAAACAACCTACCTTTTTTTAAATCCCAATTTTTTTTCATGTACTTTTGTTAAAAAAAAATACACAAACATAATAAACACAAATATTGAATGAATTTTTTCGGTTAACAATATTTGAATTTAAATATTCATGATGATAGCCAACTACATCGTACACGGAATATGAACAAAAATAAAGTATTTTATTTCAATATGATTTTCATTTTTCACAATATTTAACTTATTATTATTTTCCATGTATAAAATATTATTTTCTAAAACAAATTTAATATAATAAATAAAAATTAAAAAAACGTACGTAAAATTTTAAGAAAACTGAT